AACAAAAATGGATGTCCACCATTTTGACTCGTCATTTTGACCTCTTTAACGCCATTTTCATGAAAGCCAGCATGTTATTTTCGGATTCAGCATACTCGAAATAGGTTTGAAAAACTATGCTTGACCAAATAATAATTATTTTTCGTTAGAAGTATTTTTTTCTATTAATTGGACCAGACTATTTGTTTTAATCCCCTTTTTCTGAATAAAGACAAACAGAAAAATTATATTTGAACATGTGTGCAATATTAACATTTCATTCTGTGTAGACAATTCACGCCTTTACTTACATGTATGTCTATCGATATCAGCAAGCCACTCTCTCAAGACCTGAAGACTTCTAGTTTCCGGCGAAGAAATCTGTCTACGATACAATGGTCCCTTGAGAGTTTTGTATGTCAATTTTAGAGAAAAAAATGTTAGTGATATAATGGCAACTGGTCTGTCTGCATTGTGTGCCCGGATTCAAGCAAAAATCAATTTGTGATATTCTTTAACGTTAAACTAAGGATGTTTATACATGATTATAGAAGAGGTAGGATTTTTTGAAATATTTCAATGTTTGTTATCAAATAAGTCATTCATTATTTATATAAAGTTTTATACCCAAGCAGTTGCGAAACGATATTACACAACCGGTATCTCATGGGTCTTTTTCTTAATTGTGAGAACAATCTTTTAATCATTCAATATCCCCGTGAATGAGCTATGTGACAAGTGCGTTTTGTGAGTTTTGTTTATATGTTTGGTTGTCTCTTTTCATATGAAGACACCGCTACTAACACGTGAGAACTGTACAATTTAGACTCAAACTGGGAACTCCAAGCCTTTGAGCAATGAAGTATCTTTATCGTGGCAACTGAGCAAACGGACCTCGAATGATACGGTCTTAACAACCCGCTGAATAAGCGAGTAATTTTAAACTTTGAGTTAAGTATCAATTCCTAGCGACTCTAGAACAAACGCTTGAACCACTCCGCCACATGGGTGACCATTCTAGTGTAAATGATACACATGTACAGAACTTAGTCCTTTATAATTCGAAATTAAGATTTCCTTAACTTATTAGAATCAATACTTAACAGAATCAAAATATATAATATAATCTAATAAATATTTTATGTACGAGTTTTCACCTTCAATATTAACCTAGATTTAATTAAAATAACTCAATTAAAACTAGTTTTTTTTTTAGTTGTGACAGAAATGTTCATGTTCTAACAAACACAATGTTCTCTCTCTCTCTCTCTCTCTCTCATTTTTATGGCGAACAAACGTTTTAAATAATTGTTTTTTTTCAACTTCAACCATTTAGAAGTTGTGCTGGATAAAATCGATAGATTGTCTCTTTCGCCTGTGATTTATTATGTTCCGTTCCTTAACAGTGTAACAAATACATGAAACGTGTGAGATGGTCTGGAAATATTTCTCCAGACGATACTCTATCATTCAATTTGAATAGAAAATGCACTAAAATGTTAAGGAATAGCAGAAATTTGTCGTTCAGTAACATTTTCAGATCTAGACGATTCAGTGACCATTGTATTGACTAATGTCGCCCTCGTGGCGCTGTAGTTAGAGCGTCTGCTCTAGAGTCGCAAAGTACTGAGTTTATGGTTACTTCACCGGTTCAAATTTCACTGTGGGACATGAAGTCCTTCAGATGAGACCGCATAAACCGAGGTCCTGTGTCGCAGTAAGTGCCTAAGTGCTGGAACGAAAAAGATCCCTTCCTGTTCAATCTCTGAGTGCTGAGGACAAAATTTGCAGCTCTCTACCGGCAAGTGGTGGAATTTCTCTATGAGTTATAACTTCTCGGAAGGGATGTTAAGCAATATACAACCAGTAAATCATTCAATTGACTAAATGGACTAGACCTATCATATGATTCTTATTACTTGAACCGTCACGGTAGCTACTAAGTCGGAAGATCGCTGCTCCGTGTTCGTTAAATTACGAATCTAGCCCGTAACAGCCTTAGTCGATAAAAATAGACAGTAACTGCTCCTTCAGCCATGCGCTGGGTACTTTGAAGTTAAAGGGGTCCTTTAATTTAGTCACGAATAAAAAAAACTGAGGTCCTGTGTCACGGTAGGCGTTGGCACAAGGATCCCTCTCTGTTCAATGACTATAAGCGTCGAGTAAATGTCAAAAAATAAAGTACACTGTGACGTTTCTGTATGAGTGAAATTTCTCAAAAAGGGCGTCCTTACCAGTTGTGCAACATCTAAGTTTTTTTTATTAAAAGACTTATATTTGAGATAGCAAATTCCATGAGATAACATTGTATTCACGGACGTCAATAAATATGTGACTATGTACAGGGAAACTGTTATAATAATAGATATATCGTTGATGTGTCTTTAGGTAATGGATTTCGATTCTTATAGTTCTTTCTAGTTATTTACCATCAGAAGTAGATACTAGATATGCTATTAATCACTTAATTCTAGTAATTAACATCCTATTTCTTTAAAGAAAAATAAGCAATTTAGAAAAAAGAATCTGATGTTCAGGACATGTAAAACTTCTTGGAGTCCTGATAAAATGACTCTCACTGTTTAATCACATACTCTTTTAAGCATGTTCATCGATTCCCTCTGGAGGTGATTGCTTTGCGATAAAAACTTTGCTCTAATTACCGCTTCCAACTGTCAAATATTATGCAAGCCCGATTGATATTGATGGAACAATTAGTTGCGTTTCCCTGCTCAGCAGAAAGTCCGTTGCTCGATTCCTCAAGTTTGCAAAGTGAATTACGATGAACCGATGAACTGTGATCGATGGCAAAATAGAAAACATCTTCTCTTCGCTTATTCTCTTAATGACTATTTCTTTGTATTGATCCGTAAACATTTATCTGACAGAAAAGCCGTCACTGAGGCAAAATAGAAGCTAATTGGACTCTAACATTGTGTCCATGTATTCGGAGTTCTTTAGTAACCAGAAAGTTTGTTTGCTTGAGGAAACTAACATCAGTCGTCTATTAATATTTCCCCAGAGAGCTAGGAGGAAAGGGTACTTAAATATGCTCCTACAAATATGTTCGATATATATTTAATGTATGTGTAATATAGATAATGAACATATTGAATTTTTTTCTTGCTTTACTCAAAGACAAGAGATTGTTTAAGGTAAAATCAGAAGGGCAATTTATTAAGAAACATTTAAAAACAAAGTATCATCTGAACACTTTGGTCACTATAAGATTGTCCACTGATTGTCTTTTTCTTCTATTTTAGGGGTCTTTACCATTTTTCAAATGTCCTATTTAAATGTTATTGCATTAAAAAAATGTGAACTTATTATGCTGTAAGTAACATATAAATTATTTATCTTCAGTTTGATTTGTAAAATGCTTGCAATCTGTCTTATTTATTGGGAAAACCTTTTTGCATAAAATATATAGCAGTTTTCCTGTGGATTATTTCATAAATTTCATCTCACAATTCTAGTTTGAAGACATATACGGATGTATATGTTTCCAGGGCATTCCAGACTTTTTGTAATAATTTTTGAAATATTTTGTCTTTATTCTTATTCATCAAACTTATTTTCTTTAACAAGGGCCTTGATTACGTCTCAAACTCACATTCTAGTAAAATGCCTATAAAAATAGTTTTGAGGTTATTTCATAAACCCCAAATATAATAAAGGAAATGTCAACTAAAAAGTTGTCAATTGTAGAAAGATTCCATGCAAATGAACATTTTTCATTAAGCAGTAATATACTATTCTGTGTGATTCTGTCAGAACGACATAAAATGTTAATTAATTTATCTACACGAGGGACCTTTACACGGAACTCTGACATTTACGTAGTGTTTTCTTTTATAATATGTCTTAAGGTTATTCACGGGTGATGCATCAAGAAACTGAGAGAATAATCAAGAATACTTCAAAGCGTCAAAGAATTGATTTTTGATACAATCTATGAAGAACTCTTTCTCTGCGAAGCTTCCTTGTTATTTTGATACTTTATAGATATACCGATGCTTTATTGGGAAGAGAAGTTTGGACAGTATGACCTTATTTTGTTATTTCATGGGAGGATTGAACAGAATTAAATTTAGTTTCCTTGATAATAAACCTGATTTAAGGGTACACAACTTTTAAGTTAAAATTTACAATGTCTTTAAAAATATACTTAGAGATGGCGGAAAGCAAGATTGAAAGACTCACAGTTTAACCTTATTTTGACTATTTTGTAGGAAGATTGGACTGAATTAAATGTAGTTTCCAAGATAACAAACCCGATTGTATGAAAGGTCCCAATTTTTAAATGCAAATTACAGTGTTTTCATTATAAACTCAAAGACGGAAGAGAGCAGAAAGATATCAATGTTGATATGTGACACAGCGGGTGTAACCAGTCTCCAAATGCTGCTTACCCCTTCAAGGCACCATATCTTACCACTGTTGCTTTAAGAGGCCCATGCTTGCTCTGTTTAAAATGTGAATATGCTATTTAAGAGACCTAAACCTCGATATATGTTCGTTATGTTCATAATAAATTACTTGTTCTTAGAAAAAAAATAACTTTGACTTCCTCAGAAATATCTCTTTTTGAGAATTTAATTTCTTTAAGTAATGTTCATGTGACAGCTTCGGAGTTTTTGTTATCTTTCTACTGGTTAGAGTTTTTAAACATAAGACGATATATTCTTCAGCTTAACTTCGCATGGGTTCATTTAGTTTGTTAATTTATAAACTTTGATATCACACTGAAATTAAGAATTTTTCTTTTCTCTTAGTATGGTTGGTATAGAAAAGACAAATTTACATTTATTCTCTCTTAATGTATTAATTTAAATCAATTTAATGAACTGAACTGAACTGCTCTTTATTCTGAAACACAGTAATTTTTTATAGTATATTCTTCTTTATACATAAACCACAATTAGAAATTATTATGACCAAAAAGACGTCGCTTTTTGTCGCGCCATAAAATATATTCACACTGAATTTATTACGACTGAAAATGGGGAAACAGCGGGATTATAGCGTTCCCTCTGTGTCTCTGTGAGTGTTGAGCAAAAATCAATTCCAGTTTATCATCCTGAGAGTATGAGACATTTGCTGAGATTGTTTCAGCTAACACGTGTCCAGGGCTTTGGGTTCTAGGGTTACTGAAGTGAGGCCTCGTCTGGAATGGCTTAGCTTCACTCTTTTGCCCAGATTATGGTGTAAAAGTGGATCGTACAGATAAGGTTTTTATTGTTTGTCGTATATGTTGATACTGATTAATGGACGTCAAACGCTTGAAAAGTAAGTACGGGTTGAGCTTGATAGTTTAAGAATTTGCTTTAAGTTTTAATTCAGTGTGAATTTATTTAATCTTCAAAAGAGAGACCAAATCTTTACATTAAGAAATAATTTTGTGCAAACTACAGTGACATTGTTGTCTTTTTTATTTCAATTGATTAAAAAAACTCTAATTTTACACATTAAGCCATCTTGAAAAAAAGTTTGATTGTAATCTCCCGACCATTCCTTTTATTCCAGTCAACACATATATGGACATTTTATGGGAAAACAGAATTTCCCAATTACCTACAGATCCAATATTTTTTCTCTTATTGAAGGGAATGCATCCAAACATTTTTGTAAAAATGGCTTTAAACTTTATGTTTATAAGTCTCCGCCAACATCTGATGTTATGTTCATGCCAAAACACTAGTCGTCTCTTTCTGACTCTGCAATTTTAATATCTTTCTATGTTTTTTTTATTTGTTTTAATTGAAAAGGCATATCATATAATATATTCTGTATATTGTATTCACTTCAAGTTTTTTTTTTCATGATAATTGAACGGTATCATAAGTTTAAAAAGTTGGTTTTCTTCAAAATGCATTTTCTAATTTTTACAAAAATTATTTATTATAAGTAATTTATTCTATGTTAAGGAACATTTTAGATAGAGATCGTTGTCTTACAGAAAAGTATTTATTTAAGGTTCATAATCCTTCTCTTTACTCACAGAAAGCTGTTTTCTGTTAAATTTTCGAGATGAAATGTAATGCTTGAGTTAAATAAAATCGGTTTAAGCATCGCTTGCCGTGCAAAATTTGGCAAATAAAGAAATTTCTTTTCAACATATTTGTTGAATGTTGTGGACATTTATCCAATTCAGAGTTATCTTTCTTATCAGAGTATCAATGAACCTTAATATATTTTCTAAAGAACTTGGATATATCCGTCATCTAGTTGTGATGTCATCAATGACATTTGATAGCTCTGTTGATGGATTTATTTTTTAAAAGATCAATATATGAGAGGATCTAACACTTGAAATCATTAGTTTGAAGTAATGAGTTTTCATAAAGGAAGATAGCTGATGCTGTCAATTCTACAGACAATACTTGATTTAAATTACAAACTTCCCTCAGCACATGATGAGATTTAAGATTTATAATATTTTGAGCACAAGGGGATGACGAATACTGATTTTTTTTTTCGTGTAATTATTTTTTCTTGCTTTACTTTCTACAATTTTAAGATGAAATTTTACATTACTAGTATTATAATGGATTGCAAAAACGATTCCAGGGTACAGATATTCATTGTTTTATGAATTTACCTCATGTTCAGCAATAATAAAAAGATACACGGAATAAATGGAAGGTAATTAGTATCTATGATCCATTTTAAATTGAATTCATTGTCCATCTTGACACTTCACATTCATTAACTTTTTACAACTTACTGAATTGATATGAAAGGAAGGATATGGAGATAATGAACAGTATTCAGTATCAAAGTCCATAAAACAATAAAACATACATTTAATGTTCACGTCATAGAAATATGACGTTACCATTTCCCCGCAAGCACTTTATAGCATGGCATAAGTTTCTCTAAAGTTAAGCATAAATAATATTATGTAGTAATATTTTAGCAAGAAAAATAACTTTTCTTATTTCATGAGATTTATGCAAGTATAAAATAGAAGGAATTTGGCATTTAATTGAAAATTAAATAAAATTTTTTAAAGTGCATGAAAATGCTTGATTGTTGGGAAACGGTAAGTGCGTGATTTTGCGTTAGAAATAGGAAATGGTATATGCCTTAAAATGCGTGACTGCGTGGAAGACGGTTAAGCTTTACTTTTTATAGTGTCAATAATATAACGAGAATAAAAGCACTCTTAATATATATTGAACCATACACTTTAAAAACTGCGTAATTAAAAACATTCAGTATCTTTCAATGTTATCAAAGAAGCTTTAATTATTTTAAATTCGTTTTTTCATGGTGATTTCTGAGTTGCTTTGAAAATGGTGATATCTTTATATCACAATTTTGTCTATTAAAAAATCACACGGCGGTTGTGACCGGTGGACAGTTTGGCTTACTACTCGATCGATGGCACCTGATCCCACCTCCGATGTTTAAAGAGGTCCGTGTTTGCTCTTCTTCTGATGTCTATTTATTCCATGGAATACAGGAAGTGAGATTCTGAATGCTGTTAGTTTTCTCCAAATATTTCATTTCATCTTTTTTATTCTCCCTTTATATCTCTCAAGACATCTTTGACCATCTCGATCTATACAGTATCCCTCTATCCTGTTATAGTTCTATGAACCCCTTTTTACATTGACCGGTTCTGGCAGCGTTTAGTGTTATAAAAATGTCTTTGTTCGTATCGGAAGTGGGTCAGATTTCGAAATTTTTAATCGGTCCCACTTCACACCTAGGACGTAGAACATTAGGAGTGTCTGTTTCTTTTGCTAAGCGTATGATTTCAGGAGTTTTTGGATATGACTTAAAAAATAGCTCCATCGCTACAGTAGGCTTAGCACGATAAGGACCCCTTAGCTTCTGAATGATCTTACATGTAAATGCAGAGTAAAGGTGTTCATTTGAAGCCTTTCACTTGTGTTTGATGGTTTCTATTGTGAGAATAAACAGTTTCGCAAGGGACAGAAACAAATCTTTGTAAGTATTCTCCATCTGAAGATTTTCTTATGTCTTTTGATGATTATCTTTACTTATTTGTAATAATCAGTGGCATTTCTTTATTTTACCCTTGTTTTTTGCTCTGAATAATAATTTTGTTTTCTATCTTTCAAAAACTATCAATACGTATTTTATCTGAGATAGATACGCGACGTCTCAGTGCATGGAGTTGCTAGTAGTATATGTATATTACAAGGATAGTGTGAAACACCTTTGATTGAATTTAAGTGTACAAAGGGTTCGTAAACATATTCTATCCCGTTCCACAAAACAAAGCAAATTTAAAGATCGACCGTATTGTTAAAGAGAATTTAAACAGAACCAAAAACGTTTCTACACAATGGAAAAGATAAATGATTACAATATATTCGAAAGCGTCAAACTTACAAATTTAGCTAAGTACATTGTATTCATGAAAAAAAATGATTCATACAGCTCAACGGAAAACACCAAATCAAGGACAAATTAACACTTTGATGGAAGATGATAGCACAGAACTAAAGATTCAGATATAATTATTAAACATTTCATGAGGACCAAGTAGTCAAAACAGATGATGAGGTAATCCAATTAAAAGAAAGCGACAACCATGATAATGATATCAAATTGTGGGCTTAATAAAATTCAGCTCCAACACTGAATGTGGCGTTCCTAAGACGACGCCAGCTTTGATCAATTTCTCCCCACAAAATCGAATTAACATTAATGCCACTATATGACATAAAACTGACATATTTTTTCTTAAAAAGAAATAGTTTTCCTCTACAACTAATCACTTACATGGTTTTGATTCTGAAGGTGTCCTTTTCTAATTTAAAAAAACATTTTGATACAATGCATTTAATGGTAAAAGCAATGAATTCAAGTTATACATCGAAAAAGGATTTGGTTTTGTTTGTTCAAAATGGTTCATTCATATAAAGATGTCACCTCTTGCACATGTGGAACTAAAATTTAAACTTTTGTTTTGATATGGCACTTACAACCAGGACCATTGAGCAGCAAGGGATCTTTTTTGTGCTAGCATTTCCTTACTCTGCGAAACCACTGTCACAAGGGTGACACCGTTTCGTAACCAGGTTTTGGCTCTCGGACTACACGTGTTAACATGCTGTAAAAAGGAGACGTAAGGACAAATGATACAAACAATCTTTAATTATAAATACTAAAAAAAACAATCTAAGCCGTGTTTATTTAAGTAAAATCTATGAGTTTACCCGCACATATTATGATTTTTTATTCAAAGTTTCACAATTAAAGTAATACGCTTGACAAAATGCTGTATAGATTTATCAGGATAGTTTCAAGTGAGGGGTATAATAAAGCCATGTCATTATCTCTCTGAAGAGAGTGTCTGTCAAATTTTTGGCTGATGAACCTGTTTCTTTTATGGAGTAGCGGGCGATACTTAAAATCAAAACAATATCCCACCTCTGATGTTTTGTGGGTCCTTGTTGGCTCCGCTCTTTTTTCGTACTGTTTTATGGACCTTCAATAATGTTCGTTATATCAGTCTGTTTCTTTTAACTACTTCATAATTATTAAGAAAATGTGAAGATTTTTTTAAGTTCTGAAGGAATTAATTCCACCTTTAATGATATATTTAAAAAATATTCGCTTGATGTTCAATATTCAATGTTAATGTGGGCCATATATATTTCAACATTTTAAGGTGTGTTCCCATTTCATCTTAACTGTGGAAAGTAGGTAAGAAACTGTGAAAAAGTTATAGAGTTACAAAGAATTTGAAAATTCCTTTGTAGAAACAATAAATGCAGATTAATTAGATATTTTAGCGATTAGTTAATTCCACATTAAAACATTTTTAATATAAAAGGAACAAATAGTAATGAGTTAATTTTATCATTGGCTTCTAGAGTCATTGTACAATCAACAAATAAGATATTTGCAAATATTTACGATGAAAATACAATTTTTTTTGTGGATGTAGTGACTTATAAAATATGCAGTATATATTAAATGTTTAATGTTAATCTTAAATACTAGTATATTAAGACAGAATTCTACAGTAGTTTTATGCGTAGAATTTATTAACTTCGCTTTTTTCACCTATTTTTTCTGATTTTGTATATTTTTTTGTATAATATTCTCAAAAGCACTCATTTTCACTGTCAATGAATAACCTTTAAATCTCAGAGGTCGTCAGAATTTGCCATGCAATACAAACAAAAAATATATATTATATACTAAACGAATTTTAGAAAGTACAGGGTCCGCGGTCATAAACCATACTTAAGTCTGAGAACGCTCTCAAGGCTGAGAATTTTCTCACATCCAAAATTCTCAGA